GAGGTCAAAATAGTCATAGAGCCATGTAATTTGGTACACATGTTCCTCAAGTCAAGACATGGAAAAAATGTTATTATAGCTAATCCCTCTGACAAACAGGAAGCTCATAAATTTCATTGCAAAATGGAAAAACGAAAAACCAATCATTTTCATACATGTCGCTTCGAAAGCGACTCCTCCTCGGCCTTTTCACCGATTGGCCTCAAAATTGCTCCAAATTATCTCAACACATGTACCTTCAAAATGACTTCAGGGAATTTTAATCAGTGAAACGTTGTTTGAGCAGCGGAGCGGCAAAATGTGAGGTTTTTTTTGGCCGTTTTTGACAACATAATTTTTTTTCCCGTTTGCACAAACAAAGTCTGATTTGCATTAAACTTGAATCCATTGTTCAACTCCAGGGTTTAGGTCAGGTGAAAGTGAAATATTTGAAATTGGCCCATTAGCGCCCCCTACAGACTGAGTCAAAGTTTACATCAGGAGCCAAACCAGCTCTACTTATCAAATTCATTACCATTTGACTAACAATCTTCTATTGCTACGAGAACAAATCATCACATGGCGGCGCCATCTCCTTTGAGCGGTGCTGCGTGGTACGGTGTGGTGCGGCGTAGTGCGGGGCGTTGTGGAGCGGCGCGTTGCGGCTTGGTGCGGGGCGGCGTGGTGCGGGACGGCATGGTGCAGGGCAGCTTGGTGCGGGGAGTGCGCGCGGTGCAGGGAGTCGCGCGGTGCGGCGAGGGCCGTTCGACGCCGCTTGCGGCTTTAATTTATTTCTTTCTTTCTTTTTTCTTTCTGCACTTTGAGCCTTAATTTGACCCCCTGAACATGCATGAAAAGTTGTTAATTTTGGCCCAAAAATCAGACCTGGCGAAAAATTTGATATTTTGGTGTTTATTTTTATGGGACTCAAAAAATGACAGAACAGCGCCACCTACAACAGCCAAAATAATACCCCTATGGGAGTTTTGGAGATCAAGTTTGTCATAGAGTCATGAAATTTGGTACACATGTTTGTCAAGTCAAGACAAGAAAAAAATATTCTTATGGCCCCGCCCTCTGACAAACAGGAAGCCCATAAATTTCACTGCAAAATGGAAAAATGAACAGCAAAAGTTTTCATACATGTCGGTTGGAAAGCGACTCCTCCTCGGCCGTTTCACCGATTCGCCTCAAAATCGCTCCACATCATCTCAACACATGTACCTTCAAAATGACCTCAGGGATTTTTGATTAGTGAAACATTGTTCGAGCAGCGGAGCGGCAAAATGTGACCTTTTTTTGGCCGTTTTTGACAACATTAAATTTGCTCCCGTATGCACAAACAAAGTCTGATTTTCACAAAACTTTAATACATTGTTCAACTCTAGGGTCTAGGTCATTTGAAAGTTGAATGATTCAAATTGACACATTAGCGCCCCCTACAGACTATTTCAAAGTTTTAAATGGGCATTTTCAAATTTAGTTTTTTCAAAATGTTTGAAATTTTGCACATACATCTGTTTTGCCCTCTTGATTCAAAAAGTCAATTGGGTCCAAGGCTTATTTTTTACCCTGTTGCCGTGGCGACGACAAACGCTCCCCATTCATTGCAAATGTACACCTCACACAAACATCAAACCAGCCTCGGCCGTATCACCGATTCGCCTCAAAATCGCTCAACATCATCTCAACACATGTACCATCAAAATGACTTCAGGGAATTTTGATCAGTGAAACGTTGTTTGAGCAGCGGAGCGCCAAAAAGTGGCGTATTTTTTCTCAGTTTTTGACAATAGAAAAATTGCTTCCGTTTGCACAAACAAAGTGTGATTGGCTCAAAACTTGAATCCATGGTTCAACTCTTGGATTTAGGTCATCTGAAAGTTTAAATTTTGAAATTGGCTCTATAGCGCCACCTACAACAGCCAATTTAAAAATGCCTATGGGATGGGTTCGAGGTCAAAATTGTCGTAGAACCATGTAATTTGGTACACATATTCCTCAAGTCAAGACATGGAAATTTTTTTATTGTGGCTAATCCTTCTGACAAACAGGAAGCCCATAAATTTCATTGCAAAATGGAAAAATGAAAACTAATCATTTTCATACATGTCGGTTGGAAAGCGACTCCTCCTCGGCCGTTTCACCGATTGGCCTCAAAATTGCTCCACATCATCTCAACACATGTACCTTCAAAATGACCTCAGGGATTTTTGATCAGTGAAACATTGTTCGAGCAGCGGAGCGGCAAAATGTGACCTTTTTTTGGCCGTTTTTGACAAGATTAAATTTGCTCCTGTTTGCACAAACAAAGTCTGATTTGCACAAAACTTTAATACATTGTTCAACTCTAGGGTCTAGGTCATTTGAAAGTGAAATAATTGAACTCGGCTCGTTAGCGCCCCCTAGCGATGGGGTCAAAGTTTTTAGTATTTGGAGCGTTTCAAGGTCAAGTTTGTCGTACAGGCATGAAATTTGGTACACATGTTTCTCATCTCAAGACATGAGATAAAAGTTATTATGGCCCCGCCCCCTGACAAACAGGAAGCCCATAAATTTCACTTCAAAATGGACAAATGAAACATGGTCCTTTTCACACGTATCGGTTGGAAAGCGACTCCTCCTCGGCTGTTTCACCGATTTGTCTCAAAATCGCTCCACATCGTCTAAACACATGTACCATCAGTTTGATTTCACAGACCTTTGATCAGTAAAATGTTGTTTGAGCAGCGGAGCGCCAAAAAGTGGCGTATTTTTTTTCCATTTTTGACAATAGAAAAATTGCTTCTGTTTGCGCAAACAAAGTCTGGGTTGCACAAAACTTGAAATCATGGTTCAACTCTTGGGTCTAGGTCATTTGAAAGTTAAAAATTTGAAATTGGCTCTATAGCGCCACCTACAACAGCCAATTTAAAAATGCCTATGGGAAGGGTTTGAGGTCAAAATTGTTGTAGAACCATGTAATTTGGTACACATGTTCCTAAAGTCAAGACATGGAAAAAATTTTAGTATGGCTAAGCCCTCTGACAAAGAGGAAGCCCATAAATTTCATTGCAAAATGGAAAAATGAAAACCAATCATTTTCATACATGTCGGTTGGAAAGCGACTCCTCCTCGGCCGTTTCACCGATTGGCCTCAAAATTGCTCCAAATTATCTCAACACATTTACCTTCAAAATGACCTCAGGGAATTTTTATCAGTGAAACGTTGTTTGAGCAACCGAGCGGCAAACTGAGTGTTTTTTTGGCCGTTTTTGACAACATACATTTTTTTCCCGTTTGCACAAACAAAGACTGATTTGCATTAAACTTGAATCCATTATTCAACTCCAGGGTTTAGGTCAGGTGAAAGTGAAATATTTGAAATTGGCCCATTAGCGCCCCCTAAAGACTGAGTCAAAGTTTACATGGGGAGCCAAACCAGCTCTACTTATCATATTCATTACAATTTGACTAAGTTCTTCTATGGCTACGGGAACCAATCCTCACACGGCGGCGCCACCTCCTATGCGCGGTGCTGCGTGGTACGGTGTGGTGCGGCGTAGTGCGGGGCGTTGTGGAGCGGTGCGTTGCGGCTTGGTGCGGGGCGGCGTGAGGCGGGACGGCGTGGTGCGGGGTGGCTTGGTGCGGGGTGGCTTGGTGCAGGGCGGCGTGGAACGGGGGGGTGCGCGCGGTGCGGGGAGTCGCGCGGTGCGGCGAGGGCCGTTCGACGCCGCTTGCGGCTTTAATTCAATCTTTCTTTCTTCTTTCTTTGCTGTGCAGGGTAACGGAGGAGGAATCCACAGCGACAACAATGGAGGCTCTAAAGGCCCGGATCAGAGAGCTGGAAAAGCAGATTCTCAGAGGGGACAGATACAAGTGCTTAATCTGCATGGTGAGGATCCAAATCCAATGTCTGCGTCTGTCATTGTCGTGCCAAAGTTTATCAAGAGAGTGCAAAAGAAAACTAAATGCACTGTCCTGATAAGTAGTTGGTGTGCGTTTCCTATCTGCACGTTTCTCATTTCACCTGAATTGAATCTGTGAATGTTGTTCTCAAGGCGTGTGGCTTGCATGGCTTTGCTCAATGACTTGCTGCATGTCCAAACTTTCCTCCTCCTCATAAAGCGCCACCACAGTTTTGGATTTTCAACGTGCGAAGGTGTGCACAAGCTCGAACCTCTCTGGCTCATTTGAAATATCACATGACAATCTGGCTCAAACGAAGGTTAAACCAAAGCCCCAGTGCTCGGCGGGGGATTCCCAGTGCTTGTATTGATGATTGATTGGACATACGGGATCGATAGCTTGAGCCACATGTTTAACCTTGACAACAGCGGGCGGCATGAGGGACTCGGTCAATAATCATGCACTTCAGATGCGTACGACGCGGCCCCCTCTCTTCTTCCCCTGTCGGTGTTTGTGTGCGGCCCCGTGTATGTCACGCGCCTGTCCCGTCACATGTGGACCCTATAGACAGTGCAGAGTCGGCATCCTGGGCCTGCGTGTGTGTGTGTGTGTGTGTGTGTCCCAGAGTTAGGCAGGTAATTACCGACCGCTGCACTTCCTAAAGGTCGGCGGGCGCCCGAGGTGACACGGAGGGCAAGGCACCGCGATCGATCAATCACTGCCCTGCGTTCTCTGAGCTCCTATGCTCGCCCCTGTCATTGTCCCTCACACACGTCTAATCAGTGTCCACCGACCTGTCCGCATCCTCCTAGCGGTATCTCGAACAAGCGCTTTTAGTTAATTAGAAGGAAATGTTAATATTTTATAGAATTGTTATTAGAGATTATTGTAACCTGCAGTCTTGCATTCACGTTGTTTTTCTTCTTACAAACGAGTGGTCATAATGGTCACATACATATGATAGCAATCACCAAAAACTTTTTTAGGGATACGACGGTTCAGTCATTTTCATTTGTTTCCCATTTTCTGTTGGCTGTATTTGTCTAGAGGCTTTGTCTGTCTGCGTGTTTATGTTTACACGTCTTGTGCTGCTCAGTGGTGAATGTAAAATGACTTGAGCGAGCCGTTGTTAGATGCCACCTTTAGCCCGCTCTCTTCTCCCGCCCTCACCCATCCTGCAGCAGAGGAAGCCTGCTGTCCACTCAGGTGTGGAGATCAAGAGCGTAGGGGCGTGGCCAGGGCCCCGACCGCTGACCAATGGGGTTGGAGAAAGGCCACCTAAGTCCCTCCCTCTCGGCCTCTACTGCCTGTACAGAGGCCTTGTGATTGGTGGCTACAGCAGCGGCATAAAGAGGCTCCTCCCACAGCCTTTACGGAGGGTAAGGCACTCCTCCCTCCTCCACCTATCCCCTTCTCACCTCATCCTTGCTTCTTTTCTGAGAGGAAAAGAAAAGTTTGCCCATCCGTGTGGGTCTAGTCATCGCTCTTGTCCTTCCTGCCTGTCTCCCACCTGCTTGCTGCCTGCCAAATGTCTGCTCGTGCGTTCCTCACAGGATGCTTGTGCACAGTGACACTGTGCAGTTCTGCCTGTGGTCAGTGGCTTTATTGTTGTCGTTTATCTGCTTGTGTTTTGCCGTCTGAAAAATCGATTTTGCATGTGTCACACAAGAAAAAAAAAAATAGGATAACCTTATGCTTTTCTATTTCCAGGACTCCTACACAATGCCCCTCACCTCCATCCAGTGCTGGCATGTCCACTGTGAAGAGTGCTGGCTCAGGACTCTGGTACGCACAAACTACAAACACACTAATACAGATGCCCAGTTGTCTGCCCTCGGGCAGTTGGTCATCACGTGCTGCTAGTTCAGCCTCTTTTTTTCTACCCAGTGCGTGTGTCCATGAGCAGCTGTGCCCATTGGGACAAACTAAAATGAAATATTCTTAAGATGATCTGTTCTGTCCGCTCACGCACACAGAAAAATGCAACCGCTTCCTCTTCTCAATGGGCTCGGTTGAAATAGCACCCGAAAGGCTTGTTAAAACTCTAAAATAAAGTGGTCACTGCAGCCCCCAATGAGTACGCTGTGCCCTGGGGAAAATACACACGTGTACAGTGATGTGGTTGGTTATTAGTTAGTTTAATGTATTCAGTAGTTTGTAATTAGCAGTTAATGGAGCACTGAAGAAATAGTGTTGTGTTACTGCTGGGAGGATAAACACTAGCCTAATTATGGAGGCTTTGACTGTTGGTGTTTTTCCCTTTTATTGTTGGTCAACTTATTTCGGTACATCATATTTCCACTGTTGCAAGTTTTTTAAGCAGCAAAGTGAAATAAACACAACAACAGCCCTATTACCTCGCTATTAGCTCAGCATGAATATATCATTAGAACAGTTTGAGAGTGCTGTGTACCTGCATGCTTCACTTACTGGTTTAATGTATGGTGCATAAAACTCATAGCCTGGAGACAGCTATTAAAACAGTGGGCCAGGCTGATCAAAGTAAATGCCAGGCAATCTAGTTAACACGCGCCCTGCCCCTCGCGCTTTAACGAGCGCTGCAGCTGGAGCCCAGCGTGACGGGCACACACCCACGCGCGTAGCACCCGCGCCAAACACCACTACAAAGACGTGTGGGTAAACAAAAGTACAAGACTTGATCTGAACCTTTCTGGGGAAATTGAAGCCTGGAGAATTGTTTGGAGAATATGATAAGCCGTCCGTTTGTTTGCGTAATGGCCCGTCGTTAGGCATTTCACTCAAATCATCCATAGCTGTCCTCATTTAATTTGTTTATTCACACATTTACAGTTGTTTTCATACCAATCAGGAGCAACAAAGAACAGTTCAAGAGAGTTTACTGGAAAAATGGGCCTTTAAATCTTTGACTGACGTAAGAACACATGTCTTCTGACCTCCTCTGAAGAAAATAAACCATACATACACAAAAGGACACATGGTGGAGAGAGAGCGTTTCTGGTCCTCCGCAGCAGGACTTCTGCTACATGCTGCTGTCATGTACTGCCATGTATATCAGCCCTGATGTCACACTCAAATGTGCAGTCAGAGCACAGATGTGGCCCCCCTATGGAGAGGAGGGGCCATTGATTGCAGTACAAAACAACACAAACCTACCTCATTGTGGTTAAGCATTGTTTGAACATTTGGATAAAGCACTGTGCAATTTGTTCGTGTAAAGCGAATTGAAAGATGATTGACTGAGAATTGGTTGTAGAACTCAATTGTTTAGAGGTTGAGGAACTCAGTACATTTTGTTATTGTGGTTTCAAAATTGGGTACACCAGCTTTAATTAGTCCCATCGCTTGGTTGCTGGATAGCTCATCTAATCCGCATCTTGGTAGCAGACTAACAAACGAGCCAACATCACTGGAAATTGTAAGTCCTTAGTAGATGTAATGAGTTGTGGTGCCAGGAACTTGCTGCCAACCCTGGATGTGGTTAGAACAGAAGCACAGACCACCCACATCAAGCAGCAACAAAAGGGAAGTGGCCTTGTGTTGCTTATTATCACCTAATGGTTAATTGTGGATCGTCCATGATCAAAGCACCAGTATCAAGATTACAAATGCATTGCTCTGCCATTCAGTTCAATCCAAGTTAAAGAGACAGTATTTGATATGTTCCTTTTAGATTACATCTTCATCTTTGTCTGTGGCTCCCAAAGAACAGGTCAACATGTACAAATCATATTGGACCTTTTCAGAAAAGTATTTATTCTTTAAAACACGATGGACAAATGTCTGCTCGTGCGTTCCTCACATGTATGTCCGAGATTTTCAAGTATGTTGTCCCATCATAGAGCAGCATGACTCTCATTTTGGCTGCAAGTTTTTTTTTTTTTTAGGTGAAATTGAGCCAGTTTTGGCCCTCATCTCTTCTTTTAAATTACAAAATTGACTGAATGAATAGGTATAGGTAATACAGTGTTTGTACAGTGTCAAGCTAAACCCCAGCAGGAGCCATTTGTCAGGAAGATTCTGAAAAAACAGCAGTTAGATTTGAATTGTAATATTTTGCATAAATTATAAGTTAGTTGTTATTGTGACAGTTGCATACAGTCTCTTTAGTCATTTTATCTTGCGTTGTAATACTCAACATATTGTCTTTTCTTCGTAGGGCAACAAGAAGCTGTGTCCGCAGTGCAACACCATCACCTCACCCGGAGACTTGAGGCGTGTCTATTTGTAAAAGAAGAAAAAGCACACTTGGCAGCTCCCTCTTCACTTTCCACCCGCCATCTTGGATTTCATCGCCACTCCCCGACGCTCCTCGTCTGGTCCGTCTCTTCTCACGGCCCGACACTGGTGGCAAACGAGCCCACGAAGACGAGAGCTCACAGACTAGTAGACATTGATACGACAAAGGCTCTTTCGTGGGTGGTTAAATAGCGGAGAAAAAAACACTCAAGAAATAGACTTGTGCCACCAGGCTGCACCCGCTGACCAGACCACACCAGAACCCGGACCTACATATCTACTCAAAACATTTAAGCGGCGCTGGAATGCCCCTTCTGTTCAGAAAGCAAGACCCTGCTCAAGAAGAAAAAAATGCTACCCGATCTTAACTTAACTGAGAAAACCTTCACCTCAAGCAAGGAGTTTGATGTTCATCTTCTGTCTCCCCTTGTACCTGCTTCAAATATTTTCTTTCCCTCTCATTTTGTGGTGTTCTAGTGAAGTAAAAACCAAAATGTCGCCCCTCTGAAATGCAAGCACATGTATTATAGTTCTGTGTATGTTTACAATGTTGGGTGTAAATGACATAGAGTTCAAGCATACACACTTGTTAATAAAGGAAGTTCCATCATCAGACTTATAATCTTTAGGCCCTGTTTTTACCTGTAGGTGAATGGGTTTAGGAATGATATTTGGGGGAAAAAAATGGCTAGAATAAAGCCTTCTGTATTTTTTAAAAGATTATTTGTCAAGTTTTATTTCACTGTACAGAAATTTAAAAAGATTTCAGTAATCGATGGGAAACGCGGTGTACTTTTCTGCCTGGTTTCTGGTTGGATGATGTCAGAAGATTTGTAACTCACCCAAAAAAGGTAACGGAACTGCTTTAATATGACGCCACCATTCTTGCTTCTTAATTGGAAGAATGTACTCAAAATCCAAGGCTTTTTTTTGCTTTTCCCCTTAAATGTCTCAAATGTTTTGCCATAATTCTAACACCGCACTCTGCAAAATGCCCCAAGTCTTGAATCTGAAAAGGTGGCTTTTCTCGCTTTAAAGTGGATGTAATTGCAAACCCCCCCCCTCCTCCAGAACTTTACAGAGACGGCAGTAACCAAGATGGTGGTGTGCTTGTGTTTGTAAAATTGTATTCTGTGATGTCTGTATTGTTGTAAAAAAAATGCTGAAAAAAGACAAAAATAAAACTTCTCAAATACCGTGTCTCAAAAGCACAATGACTGATGAATAATATCAAACAATGATTACTTTAACTTCTGTCAAAAACTACTATGTTGGATTGTGCATAGAGTGGACAACCATTAATCACTTATAAATCATATAAACCTGTTTTTACACAGTTCATTACAATCTAAACCTGTTCACTGCGTCTTGCATATAGACTTATAATAAAAATCCAAACATGGTCCTACATCATATACTTTGACTTTTCATGAGCTTTGGAGAATCGTCAATAAGACAAGAAGGCAGATATAAGTGGCAAACATTAGTTTAATTAGTGGCATGAGAGGAACTCAGAGTAGAGCCACTGCCCTTCCATGTCTGGTTAACAATACTTAACAATACTCAACAATACTTAAAGAATATTTGAATTCTTTCTTTGGGGCAGATATGACTTTCAACAAGTGAAGACATAAAGATATGGACATAATGATGCATCTCTATGTTGTCAAAGGACAGTGAAGCACATGTTTTGGAGCTATGTCTCCGTTTACCATGCCGCACGGTGGCGCTGTGGGCGTTTTCTGCCCAGGTGCTGCTAGGTTTTGGGTAATCTGCTTCTCACCGTGTTATTATCACGGATCTATTATATTAACGTCATTATGGATTAATGGCCATAGGGGCCAATAAAAAAACCTTTAGTACAATATTTGGACTATGGTATGAGAAGACACGTGTTTGGGAAAGTGTGTTGAGCGAAAACCTCTTACATTATAACGTAATTATCAAAGCATGTAGGTCTATGATGAGGTTAATACTTTTACCGGAGTTTTTGTTTACTATTTTACTTAGATAAAACCATGTTATAATAGATCCGTGGATAAGACGAGTGCTTTGCCAGCTTTTGCCACCGCTGTCTGTGTGAGGAACCTTGTTTTACACGTCTCTCGTCTGCTGCAGTAATCGCCTGCCGCACTGGGGGGCGCCATTACATCGAAGCCACAGACGTATCAACTGGAGCTGAAGATGAAAGGTTTCGGCCATGAGCTTGGTGTATACATAGTTCCCACAGACCAATGAATGTCACATGACCTCCTCGGAGACGCCATCTTTGATGGCACGCTGCTGTGTTTGTGCATTCCATTAAACAGAAGAATGAGAATAAATGTAGATATTCAAACGCAAATTGGAAAAAAAGGGCAACTTTTGAGCAAATAATTGTATATTAATACAATGGCACCACAGTTTAACGTGCTACGGACATGTTTTACATATTTGATCAAATTATGCAGCAAAAATTAACAAGCAATGCAAACATTTCTCAAAAACTTTAGATTTAATACCAGTTGGAGCTCCATTTAATTATTTTAATTATATTAACAATTAATTTAATTAATGCTAATGCCACACGGACACTCTGGATTGCTGTTATTGTTTATTTCCGCGTTTTTGACCGTATGTTTTGGTGAATGGTGGGCAACTGATTTTTCCAGGCGTAAAGAGCAGTTTATTTTATGACACAGATCTTTTTACAGAAGCAATGCTGTTTGTGAACATTGTTTTAGCCCACCATAGAACTATTATTATCTATTTAATACATTTACGTTGCCCTCGAGAGCCTCGGACGCGACACCGATCCTCCTCATAATAAAGTAATCTAAATAATGAAACTCTCAAGTTACCAGATATCAGCATACACAAGTTAGTACTGAGTAAATTACGTCTGTCAACACATTATAAGATACGATACGCACCTGACACAAAGTGCTCCGAGCATATTCTTGCGTGTTTTGAGGGAGTTTCTTGCCTGTTTATCTTCGCAAGCCATAACCTCCGTGGTTGTTCTGACAAAAGCTTCGTCTTCTCACATTCATGAAGTCTAATGATGGGTATACTGTAAAATCCAAGTTTAACGGAACCTCCGGCACGATTTGAACATCCATTGACCCAGCAGGAGATGACCATTTTCAACTTTATCACGACATTAACACGTTTCAGCTTCTTTTTCTATTGTTTTGCCCACAGAATGCCAACACAAATGGCGCCGGGTCGGCAAATCCCCGTATGTAGTGACGTCATGTGGGAACTATGTATAGATTTTACAGCATCGGTGAGAGAATGAATGTAGTCAGATTTAGATAATGATACAGTGGAGACACATCACAGGAATTGTAATTGCATTCAACCATTTGGAAATCTAATTCTCGTGAAAGTGTTTTATTTTTTTTGTGGTTTGCCATTTACTCTTACAGATGTTCTCCAGCTTCAGATCTGCTTTGGGCTGGGAAGTGGCAATGAAACCAATTTTGATTCCAAATCTGACATAATGTATCTGGGGTTGCCAGTTTCAACATGGTTTCAACATTGAAATCCAGTTTATTATTTAAGCCTCGGCACCTGCAGATTATAATAGAAGCTGCACAACGTTTTGTGTTGAAATTTGTAATTTTTAGCCTACACCGTCAACAACTTTTAGATAATTCTAACCTTATAGTACATACATCTCTGTCTCTTTTTTGAGAATGCTACTTTTTCTATTGGTTATTCACAGGGGAAACTCGTTGAGAGGACAACAGTGCCATCTAGTGTTCAGCCTGCTCCTGTTAATAAAGCTCTCTATAAAAGTGCCTATAATCCGAGCATCATGCAGCTATCAGCCTTTCCCCAGATGTGCCAGCATGCTCCTGGGTGCGTATTCCCTCTATCCTCCTTGTATACTCCTGTTAAACCATGTTATAGAAAGCAGCTCTGCCACACAACAGAGCTCATTTAGCTACTGCCTGTTATATTAATTAGCAGAAATTACAACAGCACACTCTTTCCTACCACTGTTCTCGGCTCAGATCTGTGTCCAAGCATGAAATAAAAGCAGTAATTCAGAGGTGAGGTCTTGTTAGGCTGTGCCCTGCCCTGTAAGCGCTCTTGTAAGTGTTGTCAGATGTCAATAAAGCAGAGGTAGACTCAGCAGGAGATCTGAAATTGGCCTCACTGGAGAATCTGCAGTAATTTTCAACTGGTCTGTCAAAGTGCACTGTATAATGTCCATCACAGTTAATATAACTGCTCAATAGCTGGAATTGGTAAATGTACGCTTTATTTATCCCCGTAGGGAACTTGGTCCTCTGCATTTGACCCATCCTATAAATGCCACTAGAGCTGCACCTGGAAACCCATCTCCAAATGTTGATGCTTGGCTTGGTCAGGATTACCAGAGCTGGAGGATTTACCTTTTGTGCATGTACAGTGTTTTGCAAAAGTATTCACCCCCCTTGGCATTTTGTGTGTTTTGTTGCCTCACAACCTGGAATTAACATGGATTGTTTGAGGATTTGCATCAGTTAATTTACAGAACATGCCCACAACTTTTGAAGATGTTGTCTTTTTTTTATTGTGAAGCAAACAACAAATAGGACAAAATAACAGAAAAGGTCAATGTGCATAACTATTCACCCCCCTATAGTCAATACTTTGTAGAGCCACCTTTTGCGGCAATCACAGCTCCAAGTCGCTTTGGATAAGTCTCTATGATCTTGCCACATCTTACCACTGGGATGTTTGCATTCCTCCTTGCAAAACTGCTCCAGCTCCTTCAAGTTGGATGGTTTGCGCTTGTGAACAGCAATCTTTAAGTCTGACCACAGATTTTCTATTGGATTGAGGTCTGGGCTTTGACTAGGCCATTCCAAAACATTTACATGTTTCCCCTTAAACCACTGAAGTGTTGCTTTAGCAGTGTGTTTGGGGTCATTGTCCTGCTGGAAGGTGAACCTCCGTCCTAGCCTCAAATCACGCGGAGAGTGGTACAGGTTTTGCTCAAGAATATCCCTATATTTA